ATTAATAATGATAATAATATCAATCATGATAATTATGATGTTATTATTATTATCATTGTCAAAATTAATATCATCATCACTATCATTATTACTATCATCATCATTTGATATTATTATCATTATCAACATTATCATTATTGTTTTTATGACTTATGAATATCATTATGATCATCACTACAGCTCATAATTAGCATTATCAGTATTACTATCATTATCATTACTATTACTAATAATATGAACAATAACAATGATAAAAAATAACGCGTCAACCAATAATAATGGTAACAATAATAATTCCTATAAATGTAAGAATAACAGAGAAACCTTTTGCTTGTTTCTACTATTTGCCTTCTGTATTTTCGAAATAAAGCAAAATCTACCTTTTGATTATTTACATTACAGCTGAACGAACACATACTGTATAGTCATTCTCGAGAGAAGTATGTTCATAATCATGAAACATGAAAATTAAATAAATTGAGTATGTTGCAATGAAAAAAATCTTTTTGATTTTTTATAATGTTTGATATAATATTTGATTACTGGATTCGTTATTGTTTCGACATATGCATGTGCTAAAGAGCACTGTATTGCCTTCTCTTGCTCTCTCTCGCTCTCGCTCTCTCTCTCTCTCTCTCTCTCTCTCTCTCTCTCTCTCTCTCTCTCTCTCTCTCTCTCTCTCTCTCTCTCTCTCTCTCTCTCTCCCTCTCGCTCTCTCTCTCTCTCTTTGTGTCTGCCTGTCTCTGTCTGTCTGTCTCTCTCTATCTATATCTCTCTGTCTTTCTCTGTCTCTGCCTCTGTCTCTCTCTCTTTCTCTTTCTTTCTTTCTTTCTTTCTTTCTTTCTTTCTTTCTTTCTTTCTCTCTCTCTCTCTCTCTCTCTTGCTTTCGAAGTGTATCTATCTGCTCCTAACTCTCTCCTTCTTTATCTTTTCTTCCATCTATCATTCTAAAAATAAAACTATATTCGTTCTTTAATTATGCTAAATCTGGTAAAACCTGACTCAAAAATACTTTCACTCGAGTTACCTACGTTGACAAAAGAGACTCAAGTATTCATGACGTTTTACAAAATTGTGTTGTTGAAATCTATGTTAAAAACTACGTAAACTGTACTCACTATATGAAACCGATGGTGAATGATATGCTTACATTTTCTACATTGATCGACTTGTAGTAAAAAGAAAAAGAAATATTGATAGATTTTTTTCCCGACTAAATGAAAATGACTAACTGGAAGAATTAACTGAATATAAAAATGATAATAACTTCATGTGTGTTTATGTGTTTGTTTGTTTGTTTGTGTGTGTGTGTGTGTGTCTGTGAGGATGAATGTGAGTGTCAGTGTGTGAATGTTTGTGCACACAATATTTTTTTTTTTACACCATAAAGAACACACACACAAAAAAAACGAAATGAAATACACAACAAAGACAAGAAAAAAACAAAAGGAGAAACCACAACACCAATAAGAAAAAAAAATCTCAATTTAAGAAAACAAAAACCAAAAACAAACAAACAAAAAAAAATATATATGGACTTTCCGAGCCTTATTTTCTCAGCTAAGTAATTTCCACATTCTGCTTCTACGATAACTAATATTTTTTTATGCAATATATATATTTTTTTCTATTAAATATAAATATCTAATCTATCTAATTCTAATCAAACTACAGCATCTCACCTTATCTCCCATCGCCTAAGAAATGAAAAAAAACAATAACAGCAAAAATAAGAACAAAAACAACAGATAAACAAAAAAACAAACAAAATAAACTAAATAAAAGTCCTATTCACACAAAAATAAAAGTAAAAAACCTTCATTATGAGAAAAAAACGACAAAATCAACCAATCAACAAACAAGACAAACAATCAACAACTATATATATGTACATTCAATAAATATCAATATAGCAATCCTGCAAATCAACAAGCACAGTGCAACAAATCCTTAAACAAACCCTTTTACAATCATTTCAAAAATCAAACAAACAAACAGAAAACAAGGATCTTATACCTCCCCCCCTCAAAATAAAGAAAAAAAAGAAAAACAAACAAACAGCCATATTATCTCTCTTATAAAATAGTAATAATAGTAAATAAATAAATAAATAAATAAATGCCCTTACCCCCAATAATAATAATAATAATAACAATAATAATGATAATAATAATAATAATAATAATGATAATAATAATAATAGTAATAATAATAGTAACAATAATAATAACAATAATGATAATAATAACAATAATAATAATAATAATGATAGTAATAATAATAATATTGACATTAATAATAACTATAATAATAACAATAATAATAGTAATGATAATAGTAACAATAATAGTAACAGTAATAATAATAATATCAATAATAATAATAATAATAATAATAATAATAATAATAATAACAACAACAATAATAACAATAATTAACAAATAAACAAAATCCTACCCCAACTCAGCCCTTGTTTAAGACACAGCCTGAAGACACAGCC